ATCCTGAAATGTCCCCTTTGAACTCAGTTCTGTGTCTTCTGAGTTTGGGGATTGTTAGAGGCTAATCGAGACACTAAATGAGGGCACACATGATGCCAGAGAATGTGAAGAGGATGGAGCATATACTTACAGGTGTGCAGTGAGCCGCTGGCATCAGAGTGGAAATGTCCTCTCGTCTGGACTCTGCGCTCACCTTTATTTGCTTTCAGAGCTTTTGCATGACACTTTTTCAAGTATCCAAATGACCGGCCAAACAAAATTCAGCTCTGCACATGTGTGTTGTTACGTGTCTTTGCATTATCCAACCTGGCTTGTTGGAAAATCCTAAATAAGTCTGTGGAAGACTCCAAAAGAAGTAAATTACATGTAAAACAAAGAGAAAACGCAGGAGAACGCAGGCTGCAACCTCTTAAGAGTACCAGTCCTGTCAGAAACGGGCATTCAGCTTAAACTTTTGAGAGGAAAGGGAGTTTAGAAATCTTATTTATGTTTTTCTAAAGCAGCAGGAGAGAGGAGGCTGCTATTAGAAACATCCTGGATGGAGGATCCAGCATCAGGGAGAACCTCTTTAAGACAAGGTGGTGGTACAGTTTGCTTTGGAGGATGTTGGCTAAGCTCACACCTGGGGGATTTATTTTTATGTTTGATCTCGGTCTTGTCATTTCCTGTTTTATTTTGAAAGGTACGTCCCCTTGTTTCAAGTCACTTGCACTTCTCTGTGCGTCACCTGTCTGATTGTCTCCCCTAATCCCTGATTGTGTTCACCTGGGGTGAACCTCCCTTGATTTTCTTTTGATTTATTTTGTGCTCCATAGTTTTTTCCTCCTCAGAGTGAGTGAGTATTATTTTGTACTTTGCCCAGAGTGTTGTTCTGCCTCCCAAGAGAGATATTATTTGATGCTTCGTTCATAGCTTTGTCTGCCTCGTTTTCAGAGTGATGTTTATTTGTACTTTTGCGAGTGCGTCCTTTGTTCCTATTTACGTTTTGCCTAAGATCTCTGTGACTGACAGACATCCTTCATGGCCAAAAACTCCCTCCCTGCCCGGCTACTGTAAGGACCGGCTCATATTTTCTACATTAGGAGTTTTACTTTACCGCTGGATTTCATGTAATTCTCTGATGTTTTTGTTCATTTTAATAACGATGCTCAGACACTGAACTCATGTTGTGTCTACAGTTGTACTTCCAAATTTCTCTTCTTTCCATGAGACACGAGATCCACTCAGGCAGACACATTTCTCATCACACCCCAGTGGGACCTGCCTGGACTGGGAGCTGGCCTGGTCATGGCAGAGGGTCCAGCCCTAGAGGATAAATGACCATCACACCTGGAACTCTGGGCTCTTTTCTGACAGAGGCCCTCACTGAGCTTTGTAAGTTAAGAGCAACAGAGATAATTTACTTCAGAGGTGACATAACGCATTTGTACTCTGATCATTTCTCTGGTTTAATGTCAGGCTTCCAATAAAAGAGTGGGCCTAACGCTGCACAACACTTGCTCTGCCTGAATGGCTTTAGCCTCATGGTCACTCGGACTGTAGCAACCTACACGTTTACATCGTGAAATATTCTATTTAAATTGTTTCTACTCCCGTCACTTACTTTGTAATAAGCAAGATATTGAAAACACCCCCTGTAAATACTTTAACCAGACTTATATCATGCTTCTGCTAGGCTTAATGTGTTTTGCTTTTTCTGTATTTTTATTTTTGGGGGGTTTTCTTCACTGCTGCTCTAACGTGAATTTCTCCATTGTGGGATCTGTAAAGTAATCCAATCTCAATCAAATCAAATCAAAAGAAAGAGGCTTACAAACCATTAAAAAATTAGATGTATTTCAGGAATAAGTGTTTTTCTGCGCCAGCCTCTTTGCATCATTATGCAAAAAGGCACCAGTACTTGGTTATTTTTCCACCTGACCAGTGACGTCATGTAACCCTATAATGACATCTTTTGCATCGTTTAATGCTAAAAACCTTTCTAAAAAAAATGTTTCGTTTCGTATTTTCCATTTAGTTCAAAGGGGACAAATAAAGACTTGAGACTAAAAAATCTATAAATGGATCAATCTATCAATTTCATCAATTTTCTTGAATGATGCTTAATAAGCTGAAGAGAACATCACATCGTCAAAAAAAATAAAAACATACTGGGAGCCCCAAAAAATAAGCAGTATGAATATGTGCTATCGTTAATCTTTTATTAATGCAAATTGATTAGCACTGACTACATGCTCATTAAACATATACAGAACAGGCTGTCTAACAAGCTGCTGAAGCAACGATGCAGAAAAGACTTTCAAAATTCATTCAAACTAAACATTGCAAATGAAGCCGTTGTTCCAAAGTAATATGAAGAATCTCAGTGGAAAAACACTAAACACCAGTATCACATTCCTGTTTGGCGCATTGGTCCTTGTCTTTTTTTCCGGATTGCAACTTCCATCTCAGTTTGAAGTCCGTCAATCCCCTGCTTCTGAGCAAAGCCTCCATCTTTGATGGAATCAAAGAAATCAAAACCAAACAGTAAGAATGTGGAAACTTAAATTAAAACTGGGAAATATGTTTTACCTTCTGGAGGACCTGGGACTGAATGTCTGGATCAGAGAGGTCAACATCAGTCTCAGTCGTCATCCTGAAAACGGTGTTCCGCCTTAAAACTGAACAGAAATCAGGTCAGAGAAAAGGATCATGTTTTGAAAGCATGTTTTTTATTATCAGTAGTCACCTTGATTGCAGATGAAGGGCCACTTAACTCCACAATCTTCATCAGCCCACTCATGGTCTGTATTTTCAGTGATACAGTGTTGTTGATCTCCAGCGTTATTTAGGCCGCCCGGCTGCCAGTTCCTGAAGGAGCTTTGGCTCCGGTCAGACCAAGTCCAGGGGTTCCTGTACAGACCGATCCAATAAAAACTTCCCCCTGGTTTGGCATTGTCGGCCTCAGTGTTTTCTGCCTCATTCTCAATCATGGCCAAGTCGGTGAAGTGTTCCCTGCAGTGCTGCTGAGCAGACTGCCATGTTTTGCTGGTTGGGATGTGGAAAAAGTTTTTTTTGTAGTTCTCTGAAACTGCAGCAGAAAATAACCCACAGTGAGTTCAGTTATTCCTCTCAGATATCAACAACAAATGCTCAAAGCTTGGATTCCGTTTAACTGCAGTCTGCATGAGAGAGTACATTTCTCGCTAAGATAGAACACAAACTTAAACCTATTGTCTGGTAAAACTGCTCCATTTGAGCTTTAAGTTGTCCAGCTCCTCACTGGCTGCTCAGGTCTGGAGATAAATTAAACTGATTTAATTCAATTAAAATTTTCAGTCAGACTAAAAACAGGACCTCATTTTTCCTGCTTTATGTTTATGTTTATGTTTATGCATTTGGCAGACGCTTTTATCCAAAGCGACTTACAGAGTAGACACAATATTACATTTCTCATCACAATGACAATTAACTATATAGAGCAGAAACACTGATCAGAGTCAGTGGTGAGATAGAGATAGATGTAGAGGGACTACAGAAGGAGCTGTGGGGAGGTAGAGGTACGGGTTAGGGTTAGGATAGGAGATGCTCTTTGAAGAGGTGGGTCTTCAAGAGTTTCTTGCTTTAGGTTTGGATCAAACATAAAAATGAAAATGGGTTATAGGCTCATGTTCATTTTAATGAAACAAATCACTTTGATAAGTCAAGGAAGTGTAGTATTACCATTGTAGCAGATGAATTCTCTTGTGGTCTCACATCTTTCATCAATCCACACACCATGATTACCCATCAACACACATGTTTCCCTTGCTGTCCAGTAATCTGGCTGGTTATGGCCCCAGTTCTGGTACCCAGTTCTGCTGGTTTCTCCTGTTGCTGACCACCTCCAAGAGTTGGTATCACTACCCATGGAGGTTTTCCAGTTTTCAGGGTCATCCCAGAGTCCGATCCAGGCCCAGGAATAAGAGAAATCAGCTTTCAGCCTGCTGAGGTCATCCATGCTGTCAAAGGTGGCCAGGTCGGTGTATTTCTCTCTGCAGAACTGTCGGGCCTCGGTCCAGCTCTTTGGTGTGGAAACATAGTGGTACTGACGAGGGGGGGGGCTGTGAGCAGGAGCTGAGGGGAAGTCCTGAGTATTGATGGAGGGGGAAAGTTTTAGATTAGTGGATTGTTTAAATTTGATGTCACTTCTATGTAGTGAGTTCATTTTTCCAAAGAACATCAAATCTCTGAGCTGAGCGACGCTTCTAGGAAGTATTTTACTTCTTGTCATACACTAAAATATCTTTCATAGACTAAATAAAGGAGTTTTTTCCCAGCTGCTGCTTCCTCTGGACACTGCCCTGCATGTTTTCCATGTTTCCCATCTCCTGCACACCTGATCCAAATGAACTGATGTCCATCAGCCTTCTGCAGCTTAAGGATACAAAGAGGAATCCCGTTTCTTATAATGAGGTGTGCTGGAGCAGGACAATTCAGAAAAAATGCAGGTCAATGTCTCCCGAGGATCCGGGTTACCACATAAAATAGCGCAAAATTGCAGAAATGCAGCCGAATTTGAACATTTTGTTTGCGTTACATTGTGCTGATTGAAGTAAACGGAGGAGAAAAACGCTGAAAAAAAAAGCTTGGAGTAGCTCAGAGACCAGATTTCTAAATTTAAATATTTCTAAGAAGAAAGCCACCCATTGGTGGATGCTTTAGTGACCTTAGGAACTACTGACAGTGATATTTTAGGATATTTTCTTTTTTCATTTTTAGCCAGAGAACATTTTGGTACAATCCTATTTTGTGAGCTGGAGAAGATTTAAGCTTAATCTTTTCCTATTTTTTATGTTTTAACACCTGTGATAAGTTCCAATGACAAAAAAACATTGAAAATCAAAACAATCTTGTTAATTTGCAATGTTTAAATTTGAAACTCACCAAAAGGGAGCAATGCTGTTAGCATCCATAGCCGATCCATTTTCACTGCAAACAAGAAGAAAATGTCACTCAAAACAAGGCGTGAAGCCTCTGCATATCTCCAGAGCCGCTGGAAGCTGGAAGTCGAATGAGTTATTCATGTCCAGTCAACCGTGCTACATCAAAAATTCTTGAAACAATTTTCCTATGCAAAGTTTATCTGGGTGAATTCATACTTTGCGTGTTTGGGAATAAAGGTTTGTCTTTGTGCCAAGGTGCCAAGGTGCCAACAGTGAGGGAAAAGGGCTATTTTTTCTTACATTTACAATGTAAATCATCATGCTAAAAATACCAATATGCACTCACTGTATCTGTTTTGCGTCTGAGGGCGGATCAGTTTTTGGTGGTCAGAACCATGGCCTCCAAGCCATAGGGTTCTGGGTTGGAGTCCCAGGGGAACCAGGACCTTTCTGGGTGAAGTCTGCATGTTCTCCCGTGTCTGTGGGTTCTCTCCAGGTTCTCCAGCAAATCTGCATCTTAGGTGTGCGTGGTTGTTGGTCCTTGTGTGTCTCTGTGTGGAAAAAAAAAAGCTTAAGGCCATACACGTCCACACATGAGCGTGACACACGCATAGATAATGACTGGGTTACAACAACTGTGCACGACAGCCTCATGACAAACGAATCAGCCACAGTATCTTCATTTTCCAGACATCTATAGAAAGGTTCTTTATTTCTTCAGGGAATTGGAATCTGATGGAAATGGCTGATGAAATCCAACACTGATGGAAAACTGCTGGCAATGCAAAAGACCAGCCGAGCCGAATAGAGACCCTTTCCAATGCTCACATTTAAAGAAAGAGCTAGTTTGATTTGTGGTGACAGTGATTTTGAGTGGCGTACGACCCCCTCATTTTTATCAGTTTGTGTTTATGGTTTGGGTAAAACACACACTGTTGACCACAGAGAGATGACCTGTTGGCTTTGAATTACATAAAGGTAAGACTTTTTTTTTTTTTTTGTCAACGGGTGTGGTTTTGGGGGGGTTAATAACAGCAGGAGTCTTGTTGGAAAAGCATCCTGGTTTGACTTAACGCAGACATTTAGCTTGTTCCACACATAATAAAAGTAAAAAATGAGTTCTTTATCCCAATGATCCTAAAAAACCGAGGTAAAGGCAGCTGGGCGCCTCCTCTTCCTTCCCTCTGGATTTTGAAGACATTCCTCCTCTCTTCCTAAAGGCTTCTTCAGTAGTAAACTACATCAGATTGTCTAAAAGGGGGGAGAAATGCTGCTTTGTGAGAGACCTCCTCTGTTCACTATGAAAAACCTATTAAAATAGATGCACAGTCTGAGCACTCTGCTCTGACCTCTATTTTCCTATGCAAAGCCTGACCTAAAATTTCCCTCTCTAGCTTCCTCCCAAGGTCCAAAAATATGCATCCATCCATCAATCCATTAGGGGTGGGACGGTTTCTGAAAACCGTCCGAACCGTTCGGTTCGACTGTCTCGGTTCGATTCGCGTGTGTTACGTACGGTTCGTGCGCTGCTCCTTTTTCTCAGAGGGAAGCGTTTACACTCCAGAGCAGAAGGGGGCGCTACTGCGCCCAAAGCCAACCACCAGTAGTAAACAAGAAGAAGAAGCGAAGCAGCGTAGCCGATAAAAATCCAACGCGCCAACAGCAGTTTATAGGTCTGCTGTATGGGACCACTTTGCATTTAGAGGGAAGCACATGTTGGAATTAGCACTGTTTCCTCGCTTGCAATGCCAGAATCTCACCTACTTTTAACCCAAGACTGTCACAATAATGTATCAAATGTCAGACTGCTTTTTTCTTTCAGTTTTAACCTGACTATACAAGACATAATAGATTTTCCTAACAATCAACATATACCGAACCAAACCGAAAACCGTGACCACGAAACCGTGAATCGAACCGAACCGTGGATTTTGTGAACCGTCCATCCATCAATTTTCCGCCACTTGTCCGGGGTCGGGTCGCGGGGGCAGCAGCCGAAGCAGGGAGACCCAGACTTCCCTCTCCCCGGCCACTTCCGCCAACTCCTCCGGGGGGATCCCGAGGCATTCCCAGGCCAGCCGGGACACATAGTCCCTCCAGCGGGTCCTGGGTCTTCCTCTGGGCCTTCTCCCGGTGGGACGAGCCCGGAAAACCTCCCCAGGGAGGCGACCAGGAGGCATCCTAAACAGATGCCCGAGCCACCTCAACTGGCTCCTCTCCACGTGGAGGAGCAGCGGCTCTACTCTGAGCCCCTCCCGGATGGCCGAGCTTCTCACCGTATATCTAAGGGAGAGCCCAGCCACCCTGCAGAGGAAACTCATTTCGGCCGCTTGTATCCAGGATCTCATTCTTTCAGTCACCACCCAAAGTTTGTGACCATAGATGTGAGTTGGAACGTAGATCGACCAATAAATCGATAGCTTCGCCTATAAGCTCAGCTCTCTCTTCATCACGACGGACCGGTACAGCGCCCGCATTACTGCAGACGCTGCACCGATCCGCCTATTGATCTCACGCTCCCTACCCCCAATCGCGAAAAGACCCAGAGGTACGTGAACTCCTCCACTGGGGGAAGGACGTCCCCACTGACCCGGAAGAGGGACGTTACCCTTTTCCGGTGAGAGACCATGGTCTCGGACTCGGAGGCACTGATCCTCATCCCTGCCGCTCCAGCGAGAGCTGTAGGTCACAACTTCATGAAGCCATCAGGACCACATCATCTGCAAAGAGCAGAGACGTAATCCTAAAGCCCCCAAGGCGGACACCCCTCGACACCTCGGCTGCGCCTAGAAATCCTGTCCATAAAAGTTATGAACAGGACCGGAGATGTAGGGCAACCTTGGCTGGGTCCAACTCCCACCGGAAACGGATCCGACTTACTACCGGCAATGCGAACCAGACTCTGACTCCGGTCGTACAGGGACCGAACAGCCCGTAACAAAGGGCCAGGTACCCCGTACTAAAATTTTCAACTCGATACCGATATTCAGGAAAATACTCGATACCACAAGGATAAAAACAAAGACCCCAAAATTGAACTGAATTGTGTCTTTCATTTCAAACTGACCTGTTACTGATATTATCATGACTGGTGGCCCACATTAATGACCTTAACCCAAACAATAACCCTCCAGCCTTCATAATAGTGAGAAATAAATATTTTTTGTTTAAACTTGTTTTGACTTATTGTACAAACCTATTTAACATCCACTATTTTAACATAATATTATGGATAGAGTTTAATTCAGTGTTTGCAAGATTCATTTCACTGTTTTTAAATGAATGTCTATATTTCCATGAAGCAATTAGGATTTTATTGCCTGGGATCTTCCTATTGGTGACCTAATCAAAATGCCCGACTTGGATGTGGGCGGAGTTGGATATGTACTTGATTAAGGGTAGCATGTTATTATTAGCCATTAGCCGCAGCTAGCAAGGCTAACGTCTTGTTAATGATCATAAACCATGTAAATAAATACATAAATAAATCAGAGAGAAGGGGCGCAGCGACGGCAGGTAAGCGTTGCGCGCGGGCTCGCGCGGTAGCATCGATATTTTTGGAAATGAGTATCGTATCCGGATACAACATTTTAGTATCGATACTTTTTCGAGTATCGATACTTTTGACAACCCTACCCCTGAGGGTATAGAGCTGGTCCAGCGTTCCAGCGCCAGGACGAAAACCACACTGTTCTTCCTGAATCTGAGATTCGACTATAAAACGGACCCTCCTCTCCAGAACCGCTGAATAGACCTTCCTAGGGAGGTTTAAGAGCGTGATCCCCCTGTAGTTGGAACACATCCTTCGGTCCCCCTTTTTAAATAGGGGGATCACCACCCCAGTCTGCCAATCCAGCGGAACAGCCCCTGATGTCCATGCGATGTTGCAGAGTCGCGTTAACCAACGCATCCCACAACATCCAAAGCCTTGAGGAACTCCGGCCGAATCTCATCCACCCCCGGAGCCTTGCCACCGCGGAGCTTTTTGACTACCTCGGTGACTTCAGCCCCAGAGATTGTAGAGCCCAACTCCAGATCCTCAGGCTCTGTCCCCCCAATGGGGGACGCGCCAGTGGGATTGAGGAGGTCCTCGAGGTACTCCGCCCACCGACCCACAATGTCACAAGCTGAGGTCAACAGCACACCACCCCCACTGTAGAGAGTGTTGGTGGAGCACTGTTTTCTCTCTCAGCACAGTTTTTGCACAAGACTTTTCAAGTACCCAGACGATGATCTTAACAAATAGTCTGTGAATAGGTCTGTGGAAGGCACCAAAACAAGTAAAAACATACAAAAGGGCTGATTTATTTATTTAATCATTTGGTCCAAAAATCCACACGGAAAATGCTTAGAATTATTTGTAAATTATTGCAAACAAGTTTCAGCTTATATTTTATCGAGTTTATTTCTTCAAAGCTGAAGATTAAATGAGTCAAACCAGTTGGACATAAACTATTCAGCTACAGTCTATTTATGTATTCTTCTTTGTTAGTATACACTGTCTGGTCAGGGTCTTCATTGGACCTGACATGAAGTTGCATGGTTTTTTCATCAGTAGTTTAAGTTCACATGAGCTTTGTAAAACTTCTTTCATAAATATATTGTCTCCTTTCAAGAAGGTGGATCTTGGAGGGAGGACTCAGTCGCGGAACTTCGTGAAAAAGGGTTTATTTTAATAAAAAACGCACTCAAAAGAGTGGATGACAGGAGAAGGTTCAAAACAAGGCTGTGAAAACTATGAGCAAAGTAACAAAGCAAGGTTAACCGGACTATGAACACAAAGTATCAAATAAAGTAAACAAGGCTATGGTAAAGTATCAAATCAAGATTAACAAAACTGTGACAAAACATGGTGTGGAGGGGGTGTGGCGCTCAGCTGCAGGGGGGGGGGGGGGGGAAGAGGCTCAGGGGAGCTGTGCCAGGGGAGATGATTAGGCACACCTGGAACCGGTTGGCTAATCACTCTCCCCTCTGTAAAAAGAGTAGCGTGCTGGACCTGGGGAGGACGGGTTTTGAGCAGAGGCGAAGCAGAACACAAGCCACCAGATTGGGACCAAGCAGGCGAACGACACCCGAACCAAAAAGCCCTAGCCGGGCGTGCGTGAGTGTGTGTGTGTGTGCGAGAGAGTGTGTGTGCGTGCCGCACACACGCTCGAAATAAAATCGTTTATACCAGATATCCTGGTCTCTGGGGGACTTTGTCAGACACCCACGGTGGCACAAGGCCACACATGGCTATGACAAAAACATGGCTGTGGCAAAAACGTGGCTATGGCAATAAGGAAAACAAGGCTATGGCATGGCTGTGACGAAAACAGACAGACGAAACAAGGACGAAAGATGAAAACGCACTGGCACAGGACATGGAAAATGAGGACTATTTAAACACATGAGGGAGGGGAACCCCAGGTGTACTCGATAGGTAATCAAGACATGACGAGACACCAGAAATTCCCCCAGACGTGACATCTCCTTGCTTTAAAAGAGCTGTTTGTCCACCTTACATCGGCACAAAATCTGGATCTGAGAAGAGAAACAAGAGAAAAACGCATGCTGTGAGATTACAAAGAGGGAAAAACTAAGTCTTCCTGAAAGGTTTTGTGGCTCCCTCTGAGTCTTTCTTTTTGGATTTCATCCTCCACTGCAGTTTGAAGTCGGTCAATCCCCGGGCTCTGAGCAGAGCCTCCATCTGAAAAGGAATTGAGGAAGCAGCCTTCAGAGTCCTAGTTTCTGCTGAGAAGTCCCAGCTGAGGCAGAAGTGGTTTACCTTCTGGAGGACCTGGGACTGAATGTGTGGATCAGAGAGGTCAACATCAGCCTCAGTCGTCATCCTGAAAACGGTGCTCCGCCTTAAAACTGAACAGAAATCAGGTCAGAGAAAGTTTGAGGTTCTTGAAGCATTTTTTTAAATTAGCAGCAGTCACCTTGATGGCAGATGAAGGGCTTCTTAACGTAACAATAATCATCCCCCCATTCATGTTGCGGATTTTCTTCCCCACAGTGTTGTTGACCATTAACGTTATTTTTTGTGTGGTGCCAGATCCCAGAAGGAGCTTTGGCTCCGGTCAGACCAAGTCCAGGGGTTCCTGTACAGACCGATCCAATAAGAACCAGTGCCCGGTGTTGCTTTGAAGGCCTCAGTGTTTTCTGCCTCATTCTCAATCATGGCCAAGTCGGTGAAGTGTTCCCTGCAGTGCTGCTGAGCAGACTGCCATGTTTTGCTGGTTGGGATGTGAAAATAGTTTTTCTTGTTGTTCTCTGAAACTGCAGCAGAAAATAACCCACAGTGAGTTCAGTTATTCCTCTCAGATATTAACAACAAATGCTCAGAGCTTGGAGCTGCAGTCTGCATGAGAGGCTACATTTTTAGCTAAGAAGGCACTATAACTTAAACCTATTATCTGTTAAAACTCCTTCTTTGAGCTTTAAGTTGTCTAATTTCTCACTGGCTGCTTGGATCTGGACATGAATTAAATTGATTTAAATAAATTGAAATTTCAGTAGGACACAAAACCTGAAACAGGACCTAATTTTTCATGGTTCAGGTTTGGATCAAACATAAACTGAAAATGGATTAAAGGCTCTTTCTTGCTTTTAATAAAACCAATCATTTTAATACGCCATCCATCCATCTTTCCTTAACTGCTTATTCCCTAATGGGGTCGCAGGGAGAACTGGAGCCTGTCCCAGTGGTCAATTGGCGAGAGGCGGGGTCACCCTGGACGGTCCCCAGTCCATCACAGGGACAAACAGAGACACACAAGGACCAACAACCACACACACTCACATTAAGGGCAGTTTGAATGTCCAATCAACCTAACATTCAGGTTTTTGGATGGTGGGAGAATGCCGGAGAACCCGGAGAGAACCCACCGACACAGGAGAACATGCAGACTCCACCCAGAAAGGTCCTGGTTCCCCCGGGACTCCAACCCAGAACCCTCTTGCTGAGAGGAGACGGTGCTAACCACCACACCACCGTGCCGCCTTTTGATAAGTCAATACAGTGTAATATTACCTTTGTAGCAGATGAATTCTTTTGGGGTCTCACATGTCTCATCAACCCATTGACTATGATTACGGGTCAATACACATGTCTCCTGTGCTTTCCAGTAATCTGGCTGTAAAGGTTCCCAGTTCTGGTATCCAGTTCTGCTGGTTTCTCCTGTTGCTGACCACCTCCAAGAGTTGGTGTCACTACCCATGGAGGTTTTCCAGTTTTCAGGGTCATCCCAGAGTCCGATCCAGGCCCAGGAATAAGAAAAATCAGCTTTCAGCCTGCTGAGGTCATCCATGCTGTCAAAGGTGGCCAGGTCGGTGTATTTCTCTCTGCAGAACTGTCGGGCTTCGGTCCAGCTCTTTGGTGTGGAAACATAGTGGTACTGACGAGGGGGGGGCTGTGAGCAGGAGCTGAGGGGAAGTCCTGAGTATTGATGCAGGAGGAAAAGTTTGAGATTAGTGGATTATTGAAGCTGACTGACGCTTCTAGGAAGTATTTTACTTCTTATCATAGACTGAAAATTCTTTCATAGACTAAATAAAGGACTTTTTTCCATCAGCGTCAGTGTTTCCCAGCTGCTGGTTCCTCCGGAAACTGCCCTGCATGTTTTCCATGTTTCCCATCTCCTGATCCAAATGAACTGATCTTCATCAGCCTTCTGCAGCTTAAGGACACAAAGAGGAATCCCGTTTCTTTGAATGAGGTGTGTTGGAGCAGGACAATTCAGAAAACATGCAGGTTGATGTCTCCCGAGGATCCAGGTTCATGCTCCTTATGTGGTTACCACATAGAATAGTGCAGAAATGCAGCCGAATTTGAACATTTTGTTTTAGTTAGGTTGTGCTAATTTAGGTAAAAGGAGGAGAAAAATGCTAAACGCTTGGATGAGCGTAGTGGCCAGCTTTCTCATTTTAAATATTACTAAGAAGAAAGCAACCCATTGATGGATGCCTTTGTGACCTTAGGAACTACTGACAGTGATATTTTAGGATGTTTTCTTTTTTTCATTTTCAGCCAGAAAATGCTTTTCTGCAATCATATGTTGTGAGCTGGAGAAGTTTTAAGCTCAATCTTTTCATATTTTTTAACACCTGTGATAAGATCCAATGACAAAAAACATTGAAAAAAAAACAATAATTTTAATTTGCTATGTTTAAATTTGAAACTCACCAAAATGGAACAACGCTGCTAGCAACAAGAGCCGATGCATTTTCACTGCAAACAAAAAGAAAATGTCACTAAAAACAAGGCGTGAAGCGTCTCCATGTCTTTGCAAATCAGCCTAAAGTATCTCAAATTGAGTTTTCCATAGCTAAAAGGAGCTCACAGCCACTAAAAGAAACAAAAAACCAGAAGGAAAAATAAAATCATCCCATGATCCACTTGAACAAAATAACATTTGCAGTTATTTATGAATCTGAGTCCAAAAGTAATGAAAGTCCATCATTTATTTTAATTATTGCTTTCCTTTTGATTGACAGCCTAATGCACATATAAACCCACAATAAGGAAACTGCATACTCCTTTACTTATCTGTGGTTTTAATTAAAACTTTGGATGTTTTGACCAATTCATAATTCTTCATCATAATGTCTGACAAATCAAACTCAGCCTGACTCGACATGAAGCCGTCGGCCTGCCCCAGCTCACTTCTGTCCTTAAATTCTTTTTTACCTTTCAGATTTGTCCTGCTGTGAGTTTCTTCCTCTTTCAGCCACTTAGAAAAGGTTTACTGCTGCAGAACCCATCGGATACCAACCCTGGAAGTCTTGAAGCGTACTTACTGAGCAGAGCCGCTGGAAGCTGGAAGTCGACTGAGTTGTTCATGTCCAGTCAACCGTGCTATAACAAAAATTCTTTGATACATTTTCCTATGCAAAGTTTGTCTGGGTGAATTCATACTTTGGTGTTGGTGCCAACAGTGAGGGAAAAGGGCTATTTTCTCTTACATTTACAATGTAAATCATCATACTAAAAATACCAATATGCGCTCACTGTATCTGTTTTGCGTCTGAGGGCGGATCAGTTTTTGTTGGTCAGAACCATGGCCTCACAGCCAGAGGGTTCTGGGTTGGAGTCCCGGGGGAACCAGGACCAGAGGGTTCTGGGTTGGAGTCCCGGGGGAACCAGGACCAGAGGGTTCTGGGTTGGAGTTTCCAGAGGAACCAGGACCAGAGGGTTCTGGGTAGGAGTCCCAGGGGAACCAGGACCTTTCTGCCAGAGGGTTCTGGGTTGGAGTCCCAGGGGAACCAGGACATTTCTGGGTTGAGTCTGCATGTTCTCCTGTGTCTATGGGTTCTCTCTGGGTTCTCCAGCTTCCTCCCACCGTCCAACGACCTGCATGTTAAGTGTGCGTGGTTGTTGGTCCTTGTGTGTCTCTGTGTAAAAAAAACAAACAACGCTACAGCTTCAAGCCATACATGTCCACACATGACAATCAAATCAGCCACAGTATCTTCATTTTCCAGAAATCCACAGAAAATTGTCCAGGTTCTTCATTTCTTCAGTGAGGTGGAATCTGACACATTGCTTCCTTTTTCCGTGCACATTATACATCATTTTAACTCCTAAACAACAAATGTTACGAGCCATGATTCTGGTTTGATGTGTGATGATCAGGATTCAGGTAACGCGTTTCCCTCTTCACCAGTGAAATGGCTGATTAAATCCAACACTGTTGGAAAACTGCTGGCAATGCAAAAAAAACGTCCTTTTTTGGTCAACTGGTGTGGTTTTGGGGTTGGAAAAGCATCCTGGTTAGACTTTACACACACATTTATTTTATTCCACATATAACAAACAAAATGAGTTCTTGATCCCAATGATCCTAAAAACCAAGGTAAAGGCAGCTGGGCTCCTCCATTTCCTTCCTTCTGGATTTTGAAGACAATCCTCCTCTCTTCCTATAGGCTTCTTCAGCTCTAAACTACATCAGATTTGGGGGACAATGCTGCTTTGTAAGAGACCTCCTCTGTTCACTATGAAAAACCTATGAAAATAGACGTACAGTCGGAGCACTCTGCTTTGACCTCTATTTTCCTATGCAAAGCCTGACCTAAAACTTCCCTCTCTAGCTTCCTCCCAAGGTCCAAAAACATGCATCCATCCATCAATCCATCCATCAATTTTCCGTCGCTTGTCGGGGGTCGGGTCGCGGGGGCAGCAGCCGAAGCAGGGAAACCCAGACTTCCCTCTCCCCGGCCACTTCCGCCAGCTCCTCCGGGGGGATCCCGAAGCATTCCCAGGCCAGCCGGGACACATAGTCCCTCCAGCGTGTCCTGGGTCTTCCTCTGGGCCTTCATCCTGATCAGATGCCCGAGCCACCTCAACTGGCTCCTCTCCACGTGGAGGAGCAGCGGCTCTACTCTGAGCCCCTCCCGGATGGCCGAGCTTCTCACCCTATCTCTAAGGGAGAGCCCAGCCACCCTGCGGAGGAAACTCATTTCGGCCGCTTGTATCCAGGATCTCATTCTTTCGGTCACTACCCAAAGTTTGAGACTATAGATGTGGGTTGGAACGTAGATCGACCGATAAATTGAGAGCTTCGCCTTTAGGCTCAGCTCTCTCTTCATCACGACAGACCGGTACAGCGCCCGCATTACTGCAGACGCCGCACCGATCCCCCTATTGATCTCACGCTCCCTACCCCCATTCGCGAACAAGACCCTGAGATACTTGAACTCTTCCACTTGGGGAAGGAAGTCCGCACCGACCCGGAGAAGGCACTCTACCCTTTTCCGGTGAGAGACCTTGGTCTCGGACTTGGAGGCACTGATCCTCATCCCAACCGCTCCAGCGAGAGCTGTAGGTCCCGACTTGATGAAGCCAACAGGACCACATCATCTGCAAAAAGCAGAGATGCAATCCTAAGGCCACCAAGACTGACACCCTCAACACCTCGGCTGCGCCTAGAAATCCTGTCCATAAAAGTAATGAACAGGACCGGAGACATAGGGCAACCTTTGCGGGGTCCAACTCTAACCGGAAACGGATCCGACTTGCTACCGGCAAGGCAAACCAAGCTTAGACTCCAGTCGCACAGGGACCGAACAGCCCATAACATTAGCAGCCCAGTACCCCATACTCCCACAGGATACCCCGAGGGACACGGTCGAACGCCTTCTCCCAGTCCACAAAACACATGTGGACTGGTTGAGCCAACTCCCATGCACCCTCCAGGATCCCACTGAGGGTATAGAGCTGGTCCAGCGTTCCACGGCCAGGATGAAAACCACACCGTTCTTCCTGAATCTGAGATTCGACTATAAAAAGGACCCTCCTCTCCAGAACCGCTGAATAGACCTTCCCAGGGAGGCTTTAGAGCGTGATCCCCCTGTAGTTGGAACACACCCTTCGGTCCCCCTTTTTAAATAGGGGGACCACCACCCCAGTCTGCCAATCCAGCGGAACTGCCCCTGATGTCCACGCAATGTTGCAGAATTGCGTTAACCAACGCATCCCAAAACATCCAAAGCCTTGAGGAACTCCGGCCGAATCTCTTCCACCCCCGGAGCCTTGCCACCGCGGAGCTTTGTGACTACCTTGGTGACTTCAGCCCCAGAGATTGTAGAGCCCAACTCCAGATCCTCAGGCTCTGCCCCTCCAATGGAGGATGCGCCAGAGGGATTGAGGAGGTCTCCGAAGTACTCCGCCCACCGACCCACACTGTCACGAGTTGACGTCAACAGCACACCACCCCGACTGTAAAAAGTGTTGGTGGAGCTCCGCCTAACAGGGGACTCCGCCAGGCACTCCCAGCAGATCCTCACATCCCTGGTCTCACCGGCATCCTCTTCCACCATCAGAGCCAACTCACCACCAGGTAGTGGTCAGTGGAAAGCTCCGCCCCCCTTTTCACCCGAGTGTCCAAGACATGTGGCCGCAGGTCAGCCGAAAGGACAACAAAGTCGATCATTGAGCTGCGGCCTAGAGTGTCCTGGTGCCAGGACACTCTTATGCCTGAACATGGTGTTCGTTATGGACAATCCGTGCCGAGCACAGAAGTCCAACAACAAAACACCACTCAGGCTCAAGCTGGGGG